AAGTATGTATGCATGTATGCCTATATGGATGGATGGATGGACTGATTGATGGTTGTAGGGATGGATGGATAGATGAATAGATAAATAGGCAGACAGACAGACAGACAGATAGATAGATAGATGGATGGTTGTTTGGTTGGATGGATGAATGAATAGGTAGACTGGCAGAGACAGATAGACAGATAGATAGATAAATAGACAAATAGATATATGGATGGAGGGATGGATAGTTGTTTGGTTGGATGGATGGATGAATGGGATGGGGTGGGTGTGGTGGGTGTGGGTGGGTGGTGGTGGGTGGGGTGGGTGGGTGGGTGGATGGATATATGCACGCATGTATATATATATATATATATATATTATATATATAATATATATATATATATATGCGTGTGAAAATATAATAATAAATGGATAAATGAAAAAACGAATAATCATGTATGTAGGGGGACGGGTGCATGTAAATCTTTATCACAGATTTACAAATTCAAGATACAGTGAGTGCGATGTTTTGCAACGCAAGGTCTGTTTTATATCTTACGAAAGGGGGTGCGAAGTAACAGAACAGACTGGAAATCGTGAGAGTGCGTGCGGTAGGAAAATAGCTTTTAGTCATGCTTACTCTTACTTATATTTGAGTATATCCAAGAGCTTTCGTGCAAATAATCCCGGCGTGTGGACGGATTACTGTGCGAGTGTGAATGGTTTAACGCGATAGTGAATGAGCAAAGGGAGAGCAGATTTGTATTTCCCCATTTCCTTACTTATCTAAATATAAACATGCATTAGCTTCGATTCTTCGTGTGCGCGCGGAAGTGAGTGCGTGAGAGCGAGAATGAAAATCAGAGATTGAGGCGCAGGAACCTTGTCCTCTTGCGTGTTTGCAAATGCCCGCGAAATTTGCACCAAACACCCATTAATCCCAAGCTCCAAAACACCAATAACTAAACTAAACTCGCATCGTATTATTACAAGGTTCAAAAGCAAGAGAGTTTGCATCAGTTAACAAACA